ATTTTTATTTAAAGCTTTGAACTGTTCTGACTTGAATATGTAGAATTCACAGAAATACTACTTCAATTCCGATTCATCCAAGCGCTAGTTATTCAACTTTACTGAAAATATTACTATAATTTCTATGAAACTCGATCTATTGTACAGTTGAAAACTACGAGCATTATTCGTTGTACACTGTCCAACTGAAGATCACTCCACAACGCAAACAGAATAAAGATACGTACACAATGGCTTGTGAAAACTGGCACGAACGTTTTGTTTCACGGTAGTGATGTTAAAAGTCGATGGAAATGTCGATAGTTTTATTAATAATATGTAAGAAAACTACACGAGGGCACCGAGTTTTACCACCAACAGGAAAAGATGGCGAGAGAGATTGTAAGGGACTGTTCCCACGGCGACATCCCGTTTTTTGCAGGATCCCGTTTAGTAGTGTATACGAACATCTCGTTTGCAGTCCCTCAAAAAACGATCCTTCAAAAAAATGTAATTTGAAAACTCATTTTAAACGTTTTTGCTTAGTGAGTACCTGCGCGAACTTCGTTAATAATTGTAAAACGTCATAAGTATCATACTATTTTCTTTTTGTTGTTTTTCGTTATCGCGAATAAAAAATTATCGATAAAAGTTTTCACTAAAGCAACATCACTATTTCTATTTTCACGAGTGTGAAAGAGACAATACCAGCACGCTCAAGTTACTGGAAAACGGAATACCTACTTGAAGTTGAAACTTCACTTCAAAATGTTTTGGTATAAACTAACTTGTTTGTTTGTTTGAGAATTCTATAGAATTCCCAACAAACACGAAAGCATTAGTATATCACGCGGAACGGTTTATGATACGCCTTCATAAAGCTGAAACGTGAATGGTATTCGTGCGACTGCATGCAAATACAGGGTGTGAAAGGAAATTTACAGTGAATTCAGACTAACTAAAAGCAGGTGAATTCACAGAAAACGTGTGCATTTTCAGTTGCATATACTCGTACCTATAAGAAGTATGACATTAATGTTATTCGTGGAAAAGAAAAACAAACAGATTCGAGAAAAAACAACAGTTAGTAATAATATCAGTCGTTATATCCTATTTAAATAAAGAATGACATTCCACGTGGAATAAAGCTAGAGTCATCCCACACTTGGGTTGAGGCCTTTGTCCAGCAGTAGAACATAATAATATTATCGTCAGGAGCATGACCTTTTCTAAAGCCTGGTATGGCAATATAATTACGCGCGAGCGATAAGGATGGGTAGATTGGGGTCATTGGACGGGATTCTACGTGCTCACGGACCAGGCTTTAATTTACCAGAGGCAGATGAACGATTAGTTGGAGCTAGGAGTAGGGAGGCTTGGTTCCGAGTGGACAGTGGCAGTGCAACAAACTGTCACTGTAAAAATAAAAGATGGCGTGGTCGAAGATGGAGTCTGCACGCATAGTAGACGGTCTGCGCATAGGTGGAACATGTCGGGAAAGGCCTCCCTACACCGGCTCCCACCTATACTCAGCGAGACGGAGATGGTTGATTTTTAGTGGGTAGGCCCCTCCCTTCTGGAGGGGAGAGCCCCACATAACCCGCCGCCTGACCACAGTGATGGGTATACAACTCAATGCATTTTTACCACCGAAAAAATAGGGAGGCTTGGTTGGAGCTAAAAATTTATCACTTGTTCCCAACGAGTCGTACCGAAACGAGAAACACTGTTATAACTTAGAAAATACAGGTTACAGTGTCACCGACGAGTAATTCTTTTCCCAACGAGTAACAGTGTTACACATTCGGTGAAACTCGTTGGGAACAAGCAAAATTAAAAAGCTGATCTTCGATATGAAAATAAATCTCCAAAAAGTTTATTATCTGTAAAAACATAATGTCATCATGTCATCAAAATCCCATAGTCCCTGTACGTATTAAACGGAATTTAACAGATAAAAAAGCGGTAAATCTATCACGAAATCCCGAAGGTACAATAAATCATTTCCAGACGTATATCTAAACTTCTAAAGGCAAGATATTTTCCTTCATGCCTTAAAAATACTTTTATGTTTGCCCTTCCCTCACATGTGAATATTACTAACGGAATTCTTGCTAGACCACGTCGGAATACAGGGTTGCTTCAAAATTAAAATTCTAGACTTTATTTAGTTTGTTGGGTTGAGAGGCATAGCCTCTCTAAAGAGGTTAAAAGAAATTAAAATACGATAAAGAAGAACGGTCATCTGTGACCCAGGCCCGACAGAAACGACACATACCTCAGATTTTTTGTCATGTTTTAAAAGGTGAAATTATATATTTTTTATATTCGAAATCTATGTAACTCCAGGTCACCTAGATACATTCAATAGCAGCTGTAATAGACATTTAGGTACATAGGTACATTTACCAATTTTGGTGATAAATAGGCATTTTGTATTAGTTTTTGTATAACGCCTGAACAATTCCCGTGGGAATTCCTAAGTATCCTATAACCTGCCCAGGAGTATGAAGAATAATTGTACCAAGTTTCGTTAAAATCCGTCGAGTAGTTTTTGTTTCTATAAGGAACATACAGACAGACAGACAGACAGACAGACAGACAGACAGACAGACAGACAGACAGACAAAAATTTTACTGATTGCATTTTTGGCATCAGTATCGATCACTAATCACCCCCTGATAGTTATTTTGAAAATATATTTAATGTACAGAATTGACCTCTCTACAGATTTATTATAAGTATAGAAGATAGATTAATTATTGCATTATGTTCTGTTCTTGTACCTACTTATGTTTGTTTACATTTATATGTTTGTTGCAAAATAGTACCTATTACAACTATAAAGAGTGTTACTTTGCATTCTTGCCATATTTACACCAGAGAGGCAAATACTACTGACACCGAACACAAATCAGTAAAAAAATTGTGCCCTAAAATTTTGTTTTTTTATTTAAAATATTTTATTTGTTTACGACCAATCTATTAAACACACCACTAATCGTAACGCAAGCACATAACTTGTTGGCGATGGCGATGGAGACTTACTGCAAAACTAAAGGACAGTGCCAATCCATGTATGGAAGTTGGACCAAGTGCTGCCCAGAATGAAACTATAGTGCATTTTGTTCCTCAGGCCAATACTAATTTGTAAACCGGAGCGCACTGAAATCTATCCCTGGAGTTAAGAGAAAAAAAGAGTTTTGTTTTGAAATATTTACATACAAAATATCATCGATGTATACCTACTACGCATAAGATTTCGCGATTTTGGCATTAAATAACACTCGCTATGTTGAACTTAACCATACTGCATCCGTACACCTTACTTTAGTACGACTTCGACATTATTTATAAGCGATCAAGCGCTGTTTCAGTAGTTTAGTTAGTTGACCGAAATTAATTATTTCCAAAATGGAGCAAGAAGTTTTAGCTTACAATAACCTCAATAATCGATTGTAATACACCAATAAATTGATTTTTCGCAAGGATAGAGAACTAAAACTTCTTGCTTCATTTTGGAAATAATGATTTTTGTCAACTAACCAAACTATTGCAACAGCGTTAGATCGCTTCTAAAGAATGTCTAAGTCGCACTAAAGTAAGGTGTACGGATGCAGTATGGTTAAGTTTAACATAGCGAGTGTTATTTATTCATAGTGGACTGTACTATACGATAAACATGTCAGTCAATTTGACAACCTTTGTCGGAAACATTATTCAATGAAAATATTGTCCGAACCCTTAGTATTTCTCTTCGACAAATACATTAACACATCGTGAACCACTTTTCTTTCACGACTATAAAAATATTTTAGCAATTTAATTCACAAAATCAATTGCACACATTTAAAATAAAGTTTGTTTACACTTTGACAACAATAGACTGACATGCAAGGTGACATGTCAATGAAGTTTTCAGTTACTGTTGCCATTAAAAGAAATTAGTACCATTAGTTTTCCGCAACATGGCGAGGGTTTTTATGTTCCTGGTCAGGCTATAATGCCAAAATCACGAAATCTTATGCGTAGTACGTATATATCGATGATATTTTGTATGTAAATAATTCAAAACAAAACTCTTTTTTTTTCTTAACTCCAGGGATAGATTTCAGTGCGCTTCGGTTTATATGTTACTGTAAAAGCTCGAACTACGGTTAATCTTAAGATTTAAGTGTAAGTCTTAGGATTTACCGACATGAGTTGGTAAATGTAAGTATTTCTGAAAATACGACGATTTTTTCGAGCTTTTACCATTTGAATTCAGTATATGCTAGGTTTTACCTCTGTCAGCTGGTAGATGTTGGTTTTAGGAATAAAACAAAGAGTAATTCTTAATGGGGAATTATAAAACGATCGACTAAAAAATAACTTAGCGACTGACGATGGCATACTGTTTTAATAACTTGAGCGGTATGAATTTGAGTAAGCGAAAAATTAACTTAACTAACGACGAATATTGATAAATAATCAAATGCACAACGAGCTTACAAAAAGTGGGTTATGTTTAATCCATTTTAGATATTAAAATTCTGTCCGCGCGACTACATTACTAAGTGAGCGACTAGAAATACAAAGAGAGCAACTTCAATATTAAGATAGATTCAATTTTTTCAATTGAAGTAAGTTCTGATGATGATGATGATGATGAGATGCCCTGAGCACGTTATGACATGTTTTTGTTTTTCAACATTTACCGTGCATATTTTTAAATCTTAAGATTTACCAACGAAATGGTGGTAAGAGTTCGAATCGCAAACCTTTTGGGACATTTACCATAGGAATTGGTAGATCTTAGGTTTTACTGGAATATCTTAGGATTTACTGCAATTCGAGCTTTTACAGTAACATATACATTAGTATTGGCCTGAGGAACAAAATGCACTATGGATTGATTCTGGGCAGCACTTGGTCCAGACCCTGGCACTATCCTTTACTAAAAACTTAGTGTGTTTTTTTATGGGAGTTTCTTGTTTATCTAAAATAATAGGTACTGTTACCTACATTTATCTCTGTGAATATGGCAAGGATGCAAAGTAACACCGTGTATAAGATGCCACGGTATTTAGCTTGATGCGCTATCGTGTATTATCTATACTCTATGACGCTTGAACTTTTTGTTTATGGTTTGCGGCTTGCAGGCGCCGCGGGCAATAAGAGGCGTAAGGACGGAGACAGCAGGAAGAGCTCCGTCGTCGAAGGTACGTCGCTTTCAAGTCATTTATAGTTAATTACTTTCTGCTAATAGGCTTTTATAAAGCTTTTACAGTAAGCTTTTACTGTAACTAAAGTTACATGAAGCGGCTGACTGGCAAAGAAAGTGAAATAATAAAAAAAATAATAACGAAAAACATTTGAAAGAACAAAAACCAGAGTTGCCATGCGTAAAAATATTCCCAGGGTTCAAATAGAACGCGTACCTGTCACCGCGTTATAACGTTAATGAAGTAGAGAGTAATAAAGTTTACCAATCACTTCACACACACATAGTTATAATCAGTGTTGCTAGAAAAAAAGTGTTTTAGTTCCGAAATAATTAATTTCTACTCTTTTATGTCGCACTGTAATTTTATTCCACGCCTCGCACACGTAGGTACGTAAAAAATATAAAATACCTGCTATGTTTGTATTTCGGATTACAAACATAGCAGGCCCGCGGTATTACGTTACGGCGCAACCACGACTGACTCCCCGATAATCCACGATAAATTATGTCAGTGTGTGCGCTCGCGCCGCATACGTGTTGGCGCGCTCACATACAAACTGCGCTCGGTGCGGTTCTATGAAGATGACCTACTCATTTGTATTTACTCTGGTCTAACATTCTAGCGCGCTAAATGCGTCTTCTATTTATCGAAGCCTTTATTATAAAGTGCTCTCCCTGTGCTCACATCATTTGTCCTACGTTCCAGGGTTCACACTAAGTGCCTCCAACAACCTGGCGCGTCTCACCGCGTTAGCTCTAACGCACTTACTTCTGGCACCGGCCTGCGCGCCTCTCTTTAAAATCTTAGAAACTGTAGTCTCTTATGCTAAGGAGGTCTCAGTTATCCAAGGCGTTTATCATAGTTCTGAATAGTTATAATAGTTCCTCAAGGATTTTAGGAACAGTGTATGGAAGCCTTTTAAGCGTCTAACACATGTCACAAATAGCAGCGATACATCGCGATGCTTGTGTGATTGTAAATGCGTTGTATCGCTGCAAAAAGTCCCATTGTATAAAGTTCCTTAAAGTTAAGGTAATAGGGTTCTTTTTACATCTCCAGGGTTTACACTAAGCGCCTCCAACAACCTGGCGCGTCTCACAGCGTTAGCTCTGACGCACTTACTTCTGGCACCGGCCTGTGCGCGTTTACCGGCGCACACGCCGCTGCGAAGAGCCGCCGTTGATTTACTTGGAAGAGGGTTCGCAGTCTGGGAGCCTTATTTGGATGTCAGCCACGTATTACTTGGTGAGTTAAAGAGAGATTTATGTGTGTGTTAACAAGGTTATAGTGGCGTGCTGGTTAGAGAAAGGAGTCACTTAGACTAGACTCCAGGTCTAAACTGCAAGAATACGACACGACCCTCCCAGTGTCTTAAAGACAAGCAAGCTGCTAGTCCAACGACCCTTAGAAGGAGCATATCTCTCTCATGGAATGAGATGAGAGACGGCGAGATCTTATGCCACGCCTCTAAAATGGTCAATATATTGCTATACTGCTCTAATATTCGACAGCACTGCCCTTTAGGAACATTGAACGCTACGGTACGCTCTTGCTGCGTCTAGAATGTTTAAGATGTCGCAAAAAAAACAAAAGACGGTCGCAGACTTATTAGAGCGTTGGTATTAAGAACAAAAGACAGTCGTAGGTAGGACGCTGGATGCCTACTTATTTGCGACGTGGCAAAAAGACAAAAGACGGTCGTGGTCCAAGCTAGCTCGCTCCCTGGCGTTGAAATAAGCCCTCTATGGTAATGGGAATAAGGTTTGTATTCGCTCGCTCTCCCGGCTCTAACGCACTTACTTCTGGCACCGGCCTGTGCGCGTTTACCGGCGCACACGCCGCTGCGACGAGCCGCCGTTGATTTACTTGGAAGAGGGTTCGCAGTCTGGGAGCCTTATTTGGACGTCAGCCACGTGTTACTTGGTAAGGGAATAAGAGCTTTATTTGGGTGGGAATAAGGTCCAACGTCAGCAGGTCATTTAGACTCCAGATATCCACTGCAAGGACACACTACCCTCCCAGTGTCTTTAACAGAGCTGGCTGCTGCTCCAACAACCCTAAGAAGGACAGCAGCTCTCTCGTAGTATGGCTTGTGAGTGAAAGCAAGGCCACGCCCTAATGATCTTGGCCCCGCCTCTAAATGCTGAAGATTTGACGCAGGTCCCTACTGCTCTAATTTTTGACAGCCCCGCCCCTTTTGAACGCTACGGGATCTCTTGCTGCGTCTAGAATGTTTAAGATGTCGCAAAAAGAACAAAACACGATCGTAGGCCTATAGGAGCGTTGGTATTAAGAACAAAAGACAGTCATAGGTAGGACGCTGGATATTTGCGACGTGGCAAAAAGACAAAAGACGGTCGTGGTCCAAGCTAGCTCGCTCCCTGGCATTGAAATAAGCCTTCTATGATAATGGGAAATAAGGTTTGTATTCGCTCGCTAGAGCGTTGATAAAAAGAACAAAAGACAGTCGTAGGTAGGATGCTGGATATTTGCGACGTGGTAAAAAGACAAAAGACGGTCGTGGTCCAAGCTAGCTCGCTCCCTGGCATTGAAATAAGCCTTCTATGATAATGGGTAATAAGGTTTGTATTCGCTCGCTAGAGCGTTGATAAAAAGAACAAAAGACAGTCGTAGGTAGGACGCTGGATGTCTACTTATTTGCGACGTAGCAAAAAGACAAAAGACGGTCGTATGGCCACGATGGGACCCCCACTGATCCCTCCAAGCTTCGCTCTCTGGCGTTGAAATAAGCCCTCTATGGTAATGGGAATAAGGTTTGTATTCGCTCGCTCCCTCTCCCGGCTCTAACGCACTTACTTCTGGCACCGGCCTGCGCGCGTTTATTTACGACGAGCCGCCGTTGATTTACTTAGAAGAGGGTTCGCAGTCTGGGAGCCTTATTTGGACGTCAGCCATGTGCTACTTGGTAAGTCATGAGAAAAGACCTCTATTCCCACTGCCGAAAGTGTAATTTACAGTATTTTTCAAATTCCCTAGCTTCTATCTTCGACTTATGTACTCCAATCATCTTATCTGGACGTCAACTATGTATTACTGGGTGAGTCTACTGCCAAAAGCATATTTGAGAGCCCTGGCTTCTATTCCTGTGAGCTGCAATAACCCCAAGTAAGGTCAGCGGCTGGTTAGAGGATGGTTATGGAAGGGTGGGGAGTTTTTGACCACGCCTCTAAAATGGTAAGTGTGTTGCTCTTATTTCGACAGCCCCGCCCCTTATATTTTTGAGGGTGTGACGCAGGTCACTCTAATTCTTGACAGCCTTAAAATAATCTAAAATTTGACACCCGCGATCCTTTAGACACCAAAAGCTGGACTCATGGACGTTTTTTATCGACAACGAAGAAGCTCTTGGCTTGCATCTCACCTGATGGAATATGATGATCAGAACAGAAATGGAAGCGAGCTTCACCCTCAATCCTTTACAACAGAAAAACTGACTATCTTTCCTTTGATCATATATTATTTGACCAATAATATTCCGTTCCAGGGCTCCTAGAGATGTGCTCGGACGCAGACAAGCTGGTCCCGTCGATGACGTACTAAAGAGAACAAATAAAAAACTTTACTCGACATATCTCTTTGCTAGTTTTGTCTGGTTTTAGATATGTATCATAAGTATACTAATTGAGCCATATGTTTGACGAATTATATCCCGTTCCAGGGCTCCTAGAGATGTGCTCGGACGCCGACAAGCTGGTCCCGTCGATGACGTACGGGCTGCCGCTCACGCCGCAAGCGGACTCCTGCAGAACCGCTCGACACGCCCTTACTTTGATCGCTACGGCCAGGTGAGAATAATCTATATACAGGGTGTTTCTTGTAAGGTGTCAAGCCGAAGGCAGGTGATAGGTGAGGACTAGACCTATCGATTTCACCCCCATGTATGTTCTACGATTTTTCATAGTTTAGAAGTTATCGTTAATTTTGTGATTTTTTCAAATTGTATGACCCAGTAGGCTTTAAATTTTTTTATCTTTTTTTTGGGTCGACTTTTCTCAGATTTCTTTTTTTTGACAGATTCCCTATTAATTGCAGATTTTTGAAAAAAATAATCAACTTCCTATCTTTGATGCAAGATACTGTGACGCGCCCCGCGACGCATCGACAGCCCTAGCACCCAGCGCGGAGATTTTGACAACCCTACGGCTGCGCGGCCGCACGCCGCACGGACCGAGCTAATATATGAGACGGCGGCGACCGCGGGCGCCTAGCATTCGCTCGGGAGCCATTGCAACAGCCAGACGTTCGCGCGCGCGTCTATCGTTCCCTCGGCTGCATTGCACAGAGTCCCTAGCGAATAGCTATCCACATTGTTCCCACTAACCCTAACTGTTCGACTCTGGCTTGATTCGATACCTCGATAACTCGGTCGGTGATCTAATTGTCGATTCGAGACGTTCTATCGCTGATAGCCTACCGGTTCTAATCCTTACCGAGTAGTGCATGAGATACTCATTCCCGACCTGCGGTAGCAATCCTGCTGCCACCCTTCCTGAACTTCACACCCCCTCGCCACGTAGGTCCAACGCCTTTCCTCTGTGGTCGCGCTCACCTGAGGGCTTCGGCCTCTGGCTCGAGCTAATTGGGCCACATCCTACCCCCCTAGTTATAAGTATCCAGACTAACACTCGCTAAACCTCGCACAGGGCGCCGCCCCTCTCGCGGATACGTAAACTAGTCTCGGGACGCGGATCGGGCGCGTCGCTATTCTTTTCATTGCCATTAATTAGTAATTGTGATATAACCTGTAAAGTAATTGCTCGTAATAATGGAGATTCCGTTACATGTTTTTGACTTTCTTAGGTCTAACTAATGTATGCAATTCTCTATGTTTACGTTACGTAGAACACATTTAAAGACAATAACTGAACAGAACATTTTTTTATCCACAACGAGGAATCTCTTGCCCTTCATCTGACCTGATGGAAACTGATGGATGATCAGCGAGCTTCATTTGGAATCCTAAACCACAGAGGAATTGGCTGTCCTAAATAGGTGGCCTTACCACTAGACCACAGTGGCGGTTGTTACTTTACGATTAAATTCGATATACCTACATATTAGTGTGAGAGAAAGGGAAAGAGTTTGTGTGTGTGTGTGTGTGTGTTTGTGTGTTTGTGTGTGTGTGGCGAGGGGGTGTGAAGTTCAGGAAGGGTGGCAGCAGGATTGCTACCGCAGGTCGGGAATGAGTATCTCATGCACTACTCGGTAAGGATTAGAACCGGTAGGCTATCAGCGATAGAACGTCTCGAATCGACAATTAGATCACCGACCGAGTTATCGAGGTATCGAATCAAGCCAGAGTCGAACAGTTAGGGTTAGTGGGAACAATGTGGATAGCTATTCGCTAGGGACTCTGTGCAATGCAGCCGAGGGAACGATAGACGCGCGCGCGAACGTCTGGCTGTTGCAATGGCTCCCGAGCGAATGCTAGGCGCCCGCGGTCGCCGCCGTCTCATATATTAGCTCGGTCCGTGCGGCGTGCGGCCGCGCAGCCGTAGGGTTGTCAAAATCTCCGCGCTGGGTGCTAGGGCTGTCGATGCGTCGCGGGGCGCGTCACAGTATCTTGCATCAAAGATAGGAAGTTGATTATTTTTTTCAAAAATCTGCAATTAATAGGGAATCTGTCAAAAAAAAGAAATCTGAGAAAAGTCGACCCAAAAAAAAGATAAAAAAATTTAAAGCCTACTGGGTCATACAATTTGAAAAAATCACAAAATTAACGATAACTTCTAAACTATGAAAAATCGTAGAACATACATGGGGGTGAAATCGATAGGTCTAGTCCTCACCTATCACCTGCCTTCGGCTTGACACCTTNAAGCACTCGTAGACACCGGCGCCACAAGATCATACATCGTCATACATTGCTGGGTGCTAGGGCTGTCGATGCGTCGCGGGGCGCGTCACAATACAAAACTTTTGCTAGAAACATAAAAAATATGCTTTTAGCGGAACATTCTAAAATTTTCAACTTAAAAGTTTAAAAAAAGAAAGAAATTCCATAGGTCCAAAGTAATTTTAAAAACTGCGCAGTTTTCTAAACTTTCATAATAACACAAAAAAACATGTACTTAATAGGCCATTATTTTCTGTAATCGCTCCACTAAAGTGGTAAGTCGGAGATTCCGTTANAACACCCTGTATATAAAAGAAAGTCGTGTTAGTTACTCCACTTATAACTCAAGAACGGCTGAACCGATTTAGCTGAAAATTGTCAGAGAGGTAGTTTAGAGCCAGGAGAAGGATATAGGATACTTTTTATCCCGTTCGAAATTAAAAAAAAGTCTGCTTATTTATTGCCATTAAGGCGGAACAAAGTTCGCCGGGTCAGCTAGTATTTGATAAAATACCCTCAAGATACCTTAAAATAATGATCTTATTGTGTGAGAATTTTCATAGGGGTCACTTAAAAATTAGGATTTGATGGTGAAAAATGGGCATGTCCTCCAAATGATGGTCTTATTTTTTGAGAAATTAGTCCTCCAAACTTAAAACGATTTTGCTTTAGTTGTATCAGTATTTTTATTAATGTGTGAATGTATCGTGTTAACCTTTTTAAATCTCAAAATAATTCAAAATATCATGTCTAGCCAATAATCTATCCATTGATAAGAGTAAATAAATGAGAAGGAATCGTAGCAATTGTCACCCCTTCGATGACACGGGTAAATATTGAGATAAAAGGTTACCAGTTATCCCCTCTGAAATTAATCGAAAGGCTACAATTGGGTAAATTGAAATGGGTGACAACTGGAAAGAAAATTCCCAGTTTTCGACCCGCAGGACACTGCTAGAACGGACTATTTATATCAATTTAAGCAAAAGGTTGTGGAAAACCTTGGGGGAGGCCTTTGTCCAGCAGTGGATGTCATTTGGCTGAGACGACGACAAGCAAAAGGTTAAAAAATCGTTTCTTCCCAGACCTGGTGCCTTCATTACAACAATGGCTCGCGAGGTAGCCCGTGTGGCCGCGGCCCAGCAGGCCGGGCAGCCGTCGCCGGCGTCGCACGCGCTCCACAAAGGCCGTGCCGAAGTGTTGCGCGGGATTGAACTGCTGATCGATAGGATGCACAACGAGGTTGCTGAGTTACTGGTCGAGGTGGGTCATCATCATCGTCATTTTAGCTACAGCACGTCTGCGCTGCCCACATCCAGGTGTTTCTCGCATCTAGATTCTTCCAGCATCTAGCTTCTTCCAGCATCTAGCTTCTTCCAGCATCTAGATTCTTCCCGCATCTAACTGCTTCCAGCATATAGCTACATTGCATATAGCGGGATTGAACTGCTGATCGACAGGATGCACAACGAGGTCGCTGAATTACAGGTCGAGGTCAGTTGGTAGATGTTCGTTCTTTTCAGCTTAATACCCAAGGATTGCAGCAGCGACTGGTACTGCGCTGGTCGCATCCTGAATCTAGATGCTTCATCGAGTAGAAGAAACTAGCCCAAACTTCATTTTACCGGCGTGCGGAAGTGCTGCGCGGGATCGAACTGCTGATCGACAGGATGCACAACGAGGTTGCTGAGTTACTGGTCGAGGTGAGTGGGGTTGTGACGTAGGTAGATTAAGAAAGGAGTTTCAGAATTCATCCTCTTTGAGCCAAATTCCCAATGCAAATGATTTCCTGCGTCGCCTGCATCTAGATGCTTCCTACTTCTAGATTCTTCCCGCATCTAGCTGCTTCCTACTTCTAGATTCTTCCCGCATCTAGCTGCTTCCTACTTCTAGATTCTTCCCGCATCTAGGTGCTTACCACATCCATTCTTCCAGAATGTAGGTGCTGCTAGCATCTAAGAGCTTTCAGCATCGAGACGCTTCCCGGATCTAAATTCTTCCAGCATCTAAATTCTTCCAGCATCTAGATTCTTCCCGCATCTAGTTGCCTCCAGCATCTACCTACATCTTCAAAAGATCGTCAGTCCACTGAGTGGGAGAGGCTTACCCACACTGGTTTAAGATCTCCTGTGCTCGCGTCCATATACCCTCCACCTATGGTAAGCAGCCTCCGTCATTTCAGCCACAGGACGTCGACTGCTGAACATAGGCTTCCCCAAGTATTTCCAGATTGATCGATTGGTAGCGGCCTGCATCCAGCGTCTAAGAGTGCGAAGCCACGAACAAAAGCTTCTCGATATAATTACGTAATGGTACTAAAGTCTGGTCGCCGAGCATGTAGAATTTTGTCCAATGACCCCAAGCTACCCATCCTTATCGCTCGTGCGTAATTATATTGCTGTCGCGACTGTGCGACGGGCGCCCGCAGTGAGTGTGCGAGCTTGGGGTCATTGGACAAAATTCTACGTGCTCACAGACCGGGCTTTAGTAATTCTTCATTTTTTAAACGATTGAGATGAAAAGTGTCATTTTTATTTTGTTTTTATCTTATTTTTTAATATCACTGTACCTACCTTTGTATGCTGTATTACTGTGCAGAAGATGCAAGCTTATAGCATAAACTAGCACCGGGTGAAAAACGACCTAGTGCCTTACAGCTTACGCTGAGCCGGATACCCTTGTCACCTTTTTTTTAGTATTTAAGCTGTGTTATGTATGTTTTTATTTTTGTGACAATAAAAGTTTATTTATTTAATTATTTTATCTCTTTCTTCAGGTCATGGACATCATCCTCCACTGCGTAGACCAGTCGCACCTGAAGAGCAAAGGACTTAACGAGGTTTTCCCGGCCATCTGCCGCTACAACCAAGTCTCGCACTGCCCTGCCACCAGAAGGATCGCTGGTGAGTCATAAATCTATATATATAAAAGAAAGTCGTGTTAGTTACTTCGCTTATAACTCAAGAACGGCTGAACTGATTTAGCTGAAAATTGTCAGGGAGGTAGTTTAGAGCCAAGAGAAGGACATAGGATACTTTTTATCCCGTTATTTATTGCCATTAAGGCGGAACAAAGTTCGCCGGGTCAGCTAGTATCATCTATACTTATAATAAATCTGTAGAGAGGTCAATTCTGTGAAATATATTTACAAAATAACTATCAGGGGGTGATTAGTGATCGATACTGATGCCAAAAATGCAATCAGTAAAATTTTTGTCTGTCTGTCTCTGTCTGTCTGTCTGTCTGTATGTTCCTTATAGAAACAAAAACTACTCGACGGATTTTAACGAAACTTGGTACAATTATTCTTCATACTCCTGGGCAGGTTATAGTATACTTAGGAATTCCCACGGGAACGGGAGTTAGCGGGAAAAAACATTTGTATGAAAAAATCTTAACCGCGTAATATTGATGAAGGGGGTAAAACGGGATCCACGTGTGGCGGCCGCTAGTCTATACTACATATTATAGAGAGGTAGAGTTTGTGAGTTTGTAGGGCAGGGATCGCTACTTATCTTTGGATCTACTGAACTGATTTTTACGTATAACGGGAATATTCCTACCGCTGCAATTCCTGTTTATTATACTACGTACTGTAAGACACACCATACAAAAATGCGTAGTAAATTAAGAGAACTGCTCCTGAATTAATGTACAGTCGACAGCACATCAAGCTATACATTTTCGTTGCAAAGTCGCCCCTATCGCAACTACGTAAGATACCTCAGTGTTTACGTTGACGTGCTGTTGACCGTTTAGTTACCTACTAACGTTACTTCTAATTATTTAACCGGCAGACAGTGGTGACTGAGTTTGTTGCGGCGCTTCTTCTCAGCACTTGCCAAATGTTCGTCTCGAAGCGCTGGTAGGGTAAAAAGATTATGAGACATGTGAAGGCTCCATAAGAGCAAACTCCTAAAGTATTTTTTTAATTATAGTCTGGTCTGCGAGCACGTAGAATTTTGTCCAATGACCCCAAGCTACCCATCCTTATCGCTCGCGCGTAATTATATTGCTGTCGCGCTCGCACACTCACTGCGGGCGCGCGTCGCACAGTCGCGACAGCAATATAATTACGCGCGAGCGATAAGGATGGGTAGCTTGGGGTCAATGTACAAAATTCTACGTGCTCACATCTGTGAGCAGGCTTTAGTCTTTAATTTTTGTTTCTTTTTGCCGATTTGTAAGCACTATTTTTAATACTCCATGCAAATAAAAGAACTTTGAATCATTTATTATTTTCGTCTATCCAGTGGGCAGCCACACGGGCCAGCTAGCCATGTACGAGCTTCGCGCCGGTCGCTGCCAGTCACTTGCTGCGCACAGCGGACCCGTCACAGCTTGTGCCTTCAGCCCCGACGGACGATACCTGGTGTCCTACGCCACGGCCGACAACCGGCTGTCCTTCTGGCAGAGCACAGCAGGTGAGTGGTCTACACATTAGACCCTTTAGCTTGTATCATCAGCACTGGCAGTCGCTATCTGGTGTCTAAGGCGGCTGGCAGAGCACTCACAGAAGAAACGGCACACTTAAAGGACAGAAACAAGGACTTCAACTCTATTGTTGTCTAGAAGATTATCAATCGTCAGACTACTTTCGTCCTACAGTAGTCTACTTCCTTCCACCTTCCAACCATCAGCCCGGATGATAGATACCTAGTGTTCTATCACACGGCTGACCTAGGAGAGCACATCAGGTGAGTGGTAGAGATCGCTGCGCACAGCGGACCCGTCACAGCTTGCGCCTTCAGCCCCGACGGAAGATACCTGGTGTCGTATGCCACGGCCGACAACCGGCTGTCCTTCTGGCAGAGCACAGCAGGTTAGTGGTAGAGAAAGAGATGTTTGGCCTCTTACAACTTCTCTTCCTTCTGCTTTCCAAATTCCAGCCCTATTGATAGAATCCTGGTGTTATATGGTACGACTGACAATAGGCTGTCCTTCTGGCAGAGCACAGCAGGTGAGTGACTAAACATGTTTCATCCTACAGCATGCTTGCAACTACCTCCAAGATTGATGTATTCGACAACAGCAGATTACCCCTTATTCTTCTGGCAGGGCACAGGAGGTGAGTGTAAAGGAAGAGATATTTGAATCCTCTTTTCTTACAGCAACTCTTGCAAATTCCCTTCTTTCTGCCTTCTAACTTTCAGCCCTGAGAGATACATAAAAGGACCCATGACAACAGGCTGTCCTTCTGGCAGAGCACAGCAGGTGAATGGTCCACACATTAGACCCTTTCAGCTTGTATCATCAGCACTGGCTGTCGCTACCTCGTGTCTTAGGCGGTTGGCAGAGCACTCACAGAAGAAACGGCACACTTAAAGGACAGAAACAAGGACTTCAAGTCTATTGGTGTCTAGAAGATTATCAATCGTCAGACTACTTTCGTCCTACAGTAGTCTACTTCCTTCCACCTTCTAACCATCAGCCCTGATGATAGATACCTAGTGTTCTATCACATGGCCGACAACCGGCTGTCCTTCTAGCAGAGCACAGCAGGTGAGTGAATGGAATATGTTTCATCCTACAGCATTTTTGCAACTTCTCTTCAGTTCTAGCGGAGCAAAAACAAGATCTAGTCAGCTGACTTCACTCCTGATGGTTGATACCCTTAACAATTATTACAGCCTATCAGAGCATAGATGGCCACTACCAGATGTCGTAATTCACAGCTAATAATACGCTAAGAGACGTATCAGGCCCATTTCAGGTCACTACTTTAGCTCGGATTCTGGTGATGGCTAGTGTTAGATCTATTCCACCTTAGGGCTAAGACATACCTACCTTTAACTTCCTTTTTACGCCTTAACCCAATAAGTGGACGTTCTGGCAGGACAATTCTGGTGAGTTCTAGCAGACAGACACTTAGGACAATAATAACAAGGGCTAGTCACGGACTATAACTAATGTCCTACGCGACGGTTAATAAAGTCTTTAACGAATACTTGATTATTTAGATCTCTTATTGGAGTTTGCAAAATTTTTTGAAACAATACTTAAATTGTTAATTACAATATTAAAATTTTACACATTCTAATTCCTTTCCTCGTATTTCCCCAGGCATGTTCGGCCTAGGAGCCGCCCAGACACGCTGCGTCAAGTGCTACAGCACGGCACCAATGGCGGACGTCGCTCGCCTCAACCCGGCCAGGCTGGCGCGCCTCGTCTGGGCCAATAGCCGCACCGTCACGCTCATGCTTGCTGACGGCTCCGAGACTAGGTTTAACGTGTAGACACAACTCAATACAGCTTACTGACGAAAAATAATGACACTGACATAATATAATAACTTACAACAGCCTGCTGACGCCATATAATAGCTTACTAACGCCTCGTGTTAGCCAACAGTCGCACCGTCACGCTTAGAGATTGCAAAATCCGGATTTTTCTTAAATCCGGTTTTCCGGATTTGTGTTACGTACAAATCCGGATTATCCGGATTTTTCGAATATTGGGTAAATTTTTTAAACCATCAATTTAATTTAAATAAAACGTAGTTTTTTTCAAAAAGATGTAAGTATTTGAAGAAAAGCGTTTTATTTCATTGTCGCGCATGGAATTTATTCCTCTTTTTTTCGGTTTGCGCTACAAGCTTTCAAAATTATTTGAACCTTGCATTATTTTTTTCGTTTTAGTACAAATGCATTTCAGAATAAAAACTTGTTTGTACCTATAAAATATTTTTTTTATTCTTCTTCTTGTCGTGTCGACAACAAACCTACACAGCGTCAGCCCAAAACTCCGCCACAAGAGTGGCGTTGTCAGTAGCCTTCATTAAATCTTCCTGCTTGCAGTTGTTTGGGCACGACATCATGTGCTTCGTCGACTGGGGAACAAAACCACACTTGCACTCCAAGTTTGATCCATCCAAGAATCCCTACCTGACACCTGAACAGATTGTCCTTACTACGGCAGACCTGTCTGAAGTCTATAAAGATTTCCAGGTAGGCCAGGGGAGCTCATTTTTTTATTATAATTTTATTTTACACTTTTAAGTTGTATTTCAATCTCAGGGCCCTGGTCATTATTTACGGCCAAAGTGCTCGGGAAGACGAATCCAACGAACTCAAACTCTATAAGTTTCTGCCGTTTCGGTTAGGAGTTCCTATGGCCACCTCCTGATTCATCATCAGAACCCTGAACATTATCTAGCACTTAAGTGCTTGAAAAGACAAATCCAACAAACCCAAATTCGATGAGTTTCCACCGTTTCGTTTAGGAGTTCCTATGGCCACCTTCCGAATCCATCATCAGGACCCTGGGCATCATCTAGCACTAAAGTGCTCGAAAAGACAAATATAACGAACCCAAGTTCGATGCGATTCCGCCGTTTCGTTTAAGAGTTCCTATGGTCACCTCTTGACTCCATCATCAACCCAGCTAAATGGTTGGCGGTATATCCAACAAACTGTTTAGAACTCTTTTAAGGACTTCTCCACAATCACTCCCATTCTCATACAATAACATTTCGAGATGAATTAATGTAAGCAAATCGAATCCGCTGGGTGAACTTGATGGGCGAGGTTGAAGATCTCTACTTACACTTGGCCTGCGGATGAATATGGAGAAAACAAAGCTTATGTCCAATGTCCATGTTGCGCCCTACCCAGTTTCGGTTGGAAGCTCAATTCTCGAGATTGTTGACAAGTATGTCTACCTCGGACAAACGATTCAGCTGGGAAGGTCCAATTTCGAGAAAGAGGCCAATCGTCGAATCCAACTCGGCTGGGCAGCGTTTGGTAAACGACGCAACATCTTTTCGTCCAAAATACCTCAGTGCCTGAAGACTAAGGTCTACAGCCAATGTGTGTTACCAGTGATGACTTATGGTTCGGAAACGTGGCCTCGCGTGCTATGGAGAGGGCTATGCTCGGTGTTTCTTTACGAGATCGAATCAGAAATGAGGAGATCCGTAAACGAACTAAAGTCGCTGACATACTAGCCCGACGGATACAAGCTGAAGTGGCAATGGGCAGGGCACATAGTACGCAGAACTGACGGCCGATGGGGCAGCAAGGTTCTGGAGTGACATGCAATAAATAATTTGAATTCGGAGTGGAGGCCGCGTACCGGAAAACGCAGCGTGGGACGTCCACCCACAAGGTGGACCGATAACATCATAAAGGTAGCAGGAAGGCGCTGGACGCAGGTCGCTACCAACCAGGCAACATGGAAAGCATTGGGCAAGGGGCCTATGTTCAGCAGTGGGCGTCCTATGGCTGAGATGATGATGATGATAATGACTTACACTTTAAAACTCAGCGATATGGTGTTTCAGAATCAGCGTCTCGTATAAAACTCACTGGCCGACTAGCGAATTCACTTACGCATGCGGCATGACGCGTCATTGTGCAGGCACAGTGCAGGTGTGAGTGTTGTGCGACGAAGTGCGGGTTCGTTCAATCAAAACTTCGCTTGTTTTGCATCCATGTTGCATTCAATAGATATTTTGGTTTATGATTTTATGATAAAATTTTTGGGGTAAAAATATTCGAAAAAACCGGATTTCAAAGTAAAAATCCGGATTTTTTTAAAGCCTCAAAATCCGGATTTTTCAGATATTTTCGAATTTCGAATAATCCGGATTGCAATCTCTAGTCACGCTCATGCTCGCTGACGGCTCCGAGATTAGCAAGCACTGATACCAAACACAGGCTTACTGACGTCAAATAATAACTTGCTGACGGCTAGCACCGGCTTACTGACACCAAACGACTCTGAGACTAGGTTCAACGTGTAGGCCAGGGACTAGATTACTGACGCCATTTAATACTTTGCTGACGTCATATAATACTATCTGACACCATAAGACTCTAGATTTGCCGCGCTAGATTCAGACACAAGCCTAGATAGTAAATACCAGCTTACTGACGCCATATAATAACTTACTGACGCCAATCAACTGCTTGCTGACGTCTCATAATAACTTACTGACGTTAAACTATTAAAATATGGCTCTGAGACTAGATTCAACGTGTTAAGACCATCTTAGATACCAAATACCGGATTCTGACGACAAATTGCTTGCTAACACCAATTACCTGCTGTCAGTAAGCAGGAAATTGGTGTCAGCAAGCAATTTGTTTGTTGTTTGGCCGCTAAATAAAAGAAATTTGATCATTTAATAATAATAATAAATATTTTATAGATATAAATGTATAATGACGTTAAAACATTCACATGTACTATTGTATTTTCATGTAATTTTGAGGACAGGTGTGAAGTATTATTATGGAGAGGCTTAACTAAAATTGACCTTATTTTTTGATATGTAAGGTATATTATTCATTGACTAACATCAGTAATTATATTCTTTATTTTATTTTAGATCTTAATTAAACTTAGTTTAGGCCGATTATTGGTTTTAGTCCTTTTTGTTGTACTGATATGCAGTTCATAGCACATTTATCTATTAATTTATTTAATTACGAACCTTATAAAAAGATACAAAGTCGAAAATGCTTTGGATAAATCTGCTGTTGACTGTACTATGAAGAAAATATTGCAAATTAGTTAATATTCAAAATAACCTGTGTCTAATCTGAAGAAAAAGAAACATTAATTCTTTTAATTAATTTATTTTCGTCTCCAACGTCTGTTTTTCAATTTAATGTATGAGATTATCAGTATTTTTCTTAGCAAAATTATTGTCGTATTTAATTTAGTTTTATTTAATGACTAATACCTTAGTATATTTAGTTGCTTTGTGACTAAAATGTCGTAAATGTTGTGACTGTTTAGTTAAATATTTTAGACTTAAGTTTCTGCATTTATGGATTAGAATTGACACTTAATATCCTCGTATAAGAAACGAGACTCAAAATTCGATTGAAATGCATGTGTTTGATTGATTTCTTCTGTTTGAGTATTTATATTTATTGAGTAAAGTTTCAATATGATCTACATATGTAATGTCTTTATTTAGATGCCATCTTGAGAATAACAAGTAACTGGGTTACAGTAATTTTAAATTGATACATTCTAATTATGTATATTAAAGATAAGCAATTTTTCTTTCTACTGTAAAGTTGCTAATACTGACTAGCACAATGTTAGAACTTAACACAAGAAATATGTTCCAAAAATATTTGATTCTCCATACAAATAATGAACTCGAAATCACAAAAAATCAAATCAATATTTTGACATTTTAAATAACTGTCACTTTGACAGTTGTTTATGGCCCAAATGTTAAATTATTGATTTGATTTGATAATCCAACTTAAATTCATGTAATTTGTGAAAAGAAGCGAATAGTTTTGTGTTTAACTTATCTTAATTTTTAGAAAAAATATTGATGTGCCCTTTTTAGGGTTACAAGTACGGTTTTAAAGTATATCTTAATACGTAGCATCCCTACTTCTTTAAAAGCTAAGGGATAAATCGCCTATTTTTGTCTTGTACCTGTATTCCAAATTTCTATTAATTTTGAAATCATTTATTTTATAAAATAATTAACTTTTTTCACACAAAGTTACAATATCCAGTACATAATTAATAAATATGGATTTGTCTTGCAAATCGATTGTAAACCTAATAAATCAGTAGATAAATTTTATTATAGTAGTATTTTCTTAACTCATTAATCAATTTATTGTTGATGTAATATCAAATGTATTGAAATGAAATGTTTGTTCAAGTCTATGTTATAGAACAATAAGTAAATGTAAGCGTATATAAAATTAAATAAATGGTTGCTATCGAAACAATATTTTTTTAATTATATTAATAATTGCCATAAGTTTTGACGGTAGAATAACTTTAAATACAAGCCCGGTCGGCGGCCGTGACGTCACATCGACGCTCTGAGGGCTTAGTGTGAGTTTACTTACATCAAACGTCTTTAGTGAGCGCGTTAAAAAAATATATATGAAAATTTTAGTTCTTGAAAGTTTCCGCTAGGGGCGCTGTACAATCTGTCATACTTATTATTGAGTTAATTTGCAACCAGTGGGATGGAAAGTCGCATTAGCGAGATGCACAGCTCGATGGGGTTGTAGATTTTTAATTGATATTGACTAATTGCCATTCCGTACCGCACGTATTTAATATGTGCTGTGTAAAACGATTTCCCAATTGATACTCGTATAACTAAAAATTTTAGTGTTTTTGTACAAGTAAAATAAAGTTTTCAAAGTTGTATCCCGGAATGTTAGTCGTATTCAACTACCCATCATTGCATTGTTAAAAGTTAACTTGCCCAATATTTCATTTTGTGGAGGGTAGTTGAACAGGAACCATGCTCGATAGTTTGAATTCTTTAGTGTACGACGAGCCTGGTGTTATTTTGTTTGTGAAGTCTGGTGAACTGTAAAGTGTTAAAAACAAAACTTCGATTAAACGTGCGTCGAATGGCAAGCGACTTGTTGAACCTACTTTGGACCTTGGGGGTACCCGATGTCTTGAAATCATCCTCTACTAAAGGTAAGTCGAACCCTAACTTAACGTTTTTATTTTTTCGTTATGCAGAACAAGGCAGGTATTTGACCGCTATCGCACCTGATGTTAAGTGAGATGCTGTGATTTGTGTGAGGGTTCCGTAGTCCTGACAAGAACCCTTATAGTTTCGATGTCTGTCCGAGGTTTCGCTTGGAAACTATTGGCACTAGAGCTGTAATTTTGTGAAGGTATGTATAATAATCACGCCGACAAAACGCAACAATAAAATTTTCAGCTACCCTACATGTTAAGTGGGGATGAATTTTTTTCATCTTCTACCCCATAGGTTTTTTAAAATGACCTAGGGGTTCCTAAGACTATTTTTCCATTTAGAGATCTGTTTGCAAATTATTAAAGTTTAAAGTTCCAATTTTTGTTCGAGTAGGACAACTACTGAACACTACACTGTGCGTTGCACGACACGCACTTGGCTATTTTTTTTACACTTACCACCAGGATGGTACATATCAAGTGCTTATTCTTATTATGTTCGAGAAAGACAGCAGCAAGTAACGAATAAAATGGAGCATAAGGTACAAAATGAAACAACAATTTATCACATAAAGACACATTTATTTCCAGTAAATATTTGGCACATTTACTTATAACTACTGCAGATCTTACATTAAACATTGAGTAAACCAGTCAAAATTTTCAAGTATATTACGCTGAGAGGCAGCGTTGTTTCATAAATGCTAAGTAGTCCGGTCGCCGAGCACGTAGAATTTCGTCCAATGACCCCAAGCTACCCATTCTTATCGCTCGCGCGTAATTATATTACTGTCAGGCTCGCACACTCACTGCGGCCGCCCGTCGCACAGTCGGATGGGTAGCCTGGGGTCATTGGACGAAATTCTACGTGCTCGGCGACCGGACTGTAGTAACCCATAATCATTCAACAGAAACATTGTTACAATTAAGGCCGGGTAACAGAGAAAATGGCGAAAATGAGGTTTTCATTTTTCATTTTTGAGGTACTAAACAGTAAAATAAAAGGCTAAGATTTTTTTTGGGCATAGTTGAGGATATTTTCTAGGGCTATTAACGGATGGAAACACGATTTGATGAAGTTGACTCGATAGAATAAATTCCCAAAGTTACCTCTATTCGTTTTCTAATAATGGTTTTATTTTTAAAATAAGCGATTTGAGATTCTGAATCTTTTACTAAACTAAAGTTCAGAAATAACTTGAGGGCTTTTAACGGATGAAATTTTTATATTGCGTCTNTACTGACGGATATCGTAGAGACCTGAAAGTTGGAAGGTGTGTTCTTTTTATGACATAAGAAAAGATTTTCCGAAATGGGGTCATGAAATGAAGGGGGTGAAAAAAGGGGGCAAAGTTTGTATGGAACAAAGTGATTCCTTGGTTCAATCTACTTGAAATTTAGTTTAACAATACCATAATATAATTCATGAAAGACGTGTGGAACGGGTAGAAATTAATTTTGGCAGTCATTTTCTTCGAAGTTGATATCAATACTACTTAGTGCCTTTGATTTAATAACTTTTTATTTTTACAAGTGTTTGAAAACTCCATTTCAGATTGTGTTCAATGTCAAGTGAAATCTCAAATTGAAATGTCTCAATCTCAATGAGGAGACTCTGTATTTATTCCTAGAATTCCACAAACACTGTCAAATTACCCTTTCGAATTCAAGACAGTGCAGTTTCCCATCAGTCTGCTTCGTAATGACTATAAACAAAGCTCAAAGTCAAACTCTAGGGACCTCTGCTTAAACTCCCATGAGTGCACAGAGGTACGCAGGTAACCGCGTGTGATGCTTATAGCAATTTTCGATAGGTACAGAACCCCGTACATACGTCATACATATTATAGAAAGAAAACACCCAGACCAATACAAACAAATATGTTTCTGCAATTTTAGTATGATATTTTTATTTATTAATAAACAAAGAGACTGAACAAAATTGATGCGTACCTATACTGATTAATGTTATTAACCACATGCAAAGCTTCGTGAATTGCAACAACTATAATTAAATTTATTATCCAAGCTCTAAATAATCGCTACTAAGAGTAACTTATCATAAAAAAAAATTCCAATCGCTCAAGCTCCCAAGGGCCTACCGATAGGTCGGGTGACGTAATCTTGAAATTCTTTAAGCCGGCGCAGAACTTCCAGAAGGTCGGGCGACGCCACGGCCACTTTGAACAGTGTTTACTTCTGCAGTTATATTTTATATTTATTCGATTCTAGAATATATTCCCAAAAAGTCTGAAAGGTGTTTTAATTTGTATAACTTGGATATGATTTCTATTAGAAAGTGTTGTTTGTGAGTGTGACGCTTGAAGGGAAGGAAGTCAACCTAACCTAACCAACTGCGTATTTCTATACTGTGTAGCTGGAAATTGTGGCGGGAGCTCTTTGACGCGCTGTTTTCGGCGAAGAATTGCGCGCGCAGATTTTGACAGCGCGAAATACCTACTTTAGAAGAAATACCAAGCCTTAAACAATAGCTGGTGGGGCTCAAAAGACATGTAAAGTGAGTGACCATAAAGGCGTTTTTATGTTTTATTTTGACGTGCTAGAATATTGGTCAAAACTGAATAAATATTTTTCATTTTCAATCAGTTAATTATGGTAATATCATAAAAACCTGACTCTAAAAAAAGGGCACAAAAAGCAGAAAATAATAGCCTTCCACCCCTTGTTGTGGATAAAAAAATCTTTGGACATTTTACACTACGCCTCTAGTCCCAAACTAAGCAAAGCTTGTTACTACTATGGGGTACTAAAACAATAATATCATGAATTATAAATAACTTGAAAAAATCGAACTGCCTAAGGCGAGAATTGAACCCACGACCTTCCGCTTGCCGGGCGACTGCTCTCCCAACTGAGCTACTTAGACACTGGATGAACCCGTCGAAATTTTTAAGTGTAATATGCTAACCTACCCTTAAACAAGCGGAAGGTCGTAGGTTCAATTCCCGCCTTAGGCAGTTCGATTTTTTCAAGTTATTTATAATTTTCTAATTAGTTTGAGCAACTCTTAACGCTAAAAAATTAAATAATAATATCATGATTGATACTTTCGGAGTCAGTACTTTGTTAGTATGTAGGCTCTTCTCAGGGCACTTATACAAGTCCCAATATAGCTTGCCCTACCACGTTAAGGTTATACAGGGTGGAATTTTGTAATGTCACTCTGTATAGTAATACTGTAGATCAGCGGTTCCCGAATGGTGGTCCGCGGAACCCTGGGGTTCCGTGGAAAGGCCGCAAGGGTTCCGTAAAAATATTATCCCACGTTTCGTGACCGACCTTGTTCGCTCGCACCGACTTGTTTACGCACAAGGGAGGGGCAGGGCGTGCGGGCGGAGTAGTACGGGGGTTCCGCTAGGAAAAGTATAACCAATTAAGGTTCCTTGGCAAAAAAAATGGGAAGCCCTGCTGTAGATAGAAAATTTTACTCAAAGAAAATATTCCTTTATTTTTGAAAAGAAAGAGAACTGCATTCAAAGATTTTCGAAAAACCGCACATGTAAAACTCACTCGCCTTCGTGAATTGCAACAACTACATTCTTCTTAGTATATATATAAATATAAACTACACATAGAAACTCTTTTTGAGTATTGGCATAGTATACTTAACTACTTCCCTGATTCTCAGTACATAGCAGCATAATAAAAAATCAAAGTAAATATTTTTGAAGGCCAAATTGCAAAACATAAACGACTTTTAGTCTTCATTTTCCAATTGTGCCCAAGAACCGAGAATACTTAGATAAATATGTTAATAATACACTTACTTAATTTGAAAATTATAAATCACTTGATTGAAAAAGTCGAATTGCCTAAGGCGGTAATTGAACCCAATTTATATTCAATTTTCAAGTTATTTATAATTTTCAAATTAGTTTCAGATGCGACTCTTAACGCTATAAATTAAATAACTAAACACTTTCTTAAGTCTAAAAGACAATTTTATTGCATGCAATATTTAGGAGCAAAACTCATTTATTTTTGCAAGTAGGCTTTTAAAAAGCACATTTACACGTCCCAGTATTAACCCTACCACTGCTTCGGGACAATAAATGGGCCAGTGCTGAGAAGAAGCAA